AAATACTTGTGTGGACTAACATGATGACATAAATGAAGGATCTATGGGACTGTACAGCTCTACCAGTAACTATCATGGGTGAAAGTTGAGCGTCTAGAGCGAGTCTGCTTGAATGCTTACACTTACCCAATATCTGTGAGTTGTCTCTACTCATGTGTGCGCATGTGGTACCATAGAGTCCAATGGCGAAGTTGGACCCTGTCTCAGACTCTCATGCCCTACTGGAATCTATGCTTCAGAAATTACGACTGAACCCTCAGACCAACTGTAGCTCAGTCACTGATATGCAAACATGCAGTCCGTCTGGAGAATGTAATGCTGAACCAGTGGAAGATTCATCTAAAACAACAATTGATCAGTTTGGGTTTTCTTCCAACTGTAAAGAGCAGGATGGACGCGCCTCAGTCTGGAATAAATGGGAGAAACCTTGGACTCAACAATCTTCTCATTTTGAGGATGCATTGACTTCTGTTCCTAAACAACCTGTCAGAAGGATCAGTAAGCACAACTCAGGATTCTCTGGTAGACCTAAACGTCCACCATTGATTTGGGGGGAACACAAGCGCTTCACATCAGAAAGGACGGGTGATGTCACTTCCTGGGTTGGAGACGATCAGATGCCGGAGAAGAAGCAACATTTTTCTTTGGAAGGGGAGACCAGCTCAAATGTGCCACCTTTATACAAAACAGAATCCTTCCAAAACCCCCCTGATCTTTTAGCTCCAATGCTAACAACAACATCTTCAGTGCTGGAAAAAACAGAGGTCAGAAGTCAAAGTGGCACATGGAGTTGGCGTACTGGGACTGAGAGAAATGAAAGCACCAGATTTCATGAGCAATCAGGAAATACGCCAAAGACAAGTAGAAAGAAGTGGGGGGAGGCTAAAAGGTGGGCTCAGAATGTGAAAGAGAGATGGAGAGAGAGACACAGAAACACACTGACCAGACAAAGAGATGATGGAGAAAGACAAGTGCAGAGTGAAGTACAAGTGAGTATTAGAGTCAGTCAAGCCAGTTTGGGACAAGTTCTTTGTCTATTAGTGGTGCTTACTTACATCAATATTAATACAGTGAGCCAAGCACTGCAAAAATATTAAATTAGCCTCATGTAAAGATCAAGACTATTAATGGGATGACCGAATGCACGATCCTCCCCAAAAGATCTGTTTGGCACGTTGGTGTATGCTTACAAATCGCACATGGGACTAATTAAACTCAATAATAGTGCCACATTGCCTTTGTTTTAAACATCAAACTTCTTTAAGTACTGGACTGATGTGCAATGACTGGTGGGTAAATTTCCTTCTCCACTTCCTGTGAAGTGATGTATCGATGTACACTTATTCCCTATGCCATTCACAGTGCCCTTCAAACTAAACATGTTCGCTCCCTTCAGACTGGAATCTCACTTAAGATGGTAAAGTCCACTTTGAAGTCCACTTACAGTCAAATGGAACGCACCTAATGTTCTAAAAACATCCAGAATGCCTTAGTAACCACCTAGCAATGCCCTAGCAAAGAATGCTTTAGCAATCTTACAGCAATGTGCCAGCATTCAATCACCCAAACAATTCAGCATCATGGCTGAGACTTTTTAAAGGGTTAGTTCACCCAAAAATGAAAATTCTGTCATTAATTACTCTCCCTTGTGTAGTTCCAAACCCGTATGACCTTCGTTCATCTTCGGAACACAATTTAAGATATTTTTGATGAAATATGAGGGCTCTCTGACCCTCCCACAGACAGCAAGGTAACTAACTACCACGTTCAAGGTTCATGGTACTGTCGTGAACGTGCGTCCAAAGTGACGCAGTAGAGACGAAAATGTGGAATAAAGTCGTTATTTTTGTTTTCTTTGCGCAAAAAAGTATTCTCGTAGCTTCGTAACTTTTCAGTTGAACCACTGATGTCTTTGTCGACATCTTGGTACTTTTCTTGACCTTGAACGTGGTAGTTACCTTGCTGTCTATGGGAGGGTCAGAGAGCCCTCAGATTTCATCAAAAATATCTTAATTTGTGTTCCGAAGATGAACGAAGGTCTTACGGGTTTGGAACAACACAAGGGTGAGTAATTAAAGACAGAATTTTCATTTTTGGGTGAACTAACCCTTTAAGGGCAAGCACAAGTAAAATCTGGAATTATTTTAAAAGTGAATGTCCTTTATGCTTATATTCAGAGTAATCGCTCTTCGTTATTGGTGCCCATCGATGTGAACGACACACTTACAGCACTCACTGAGACTACAGAAATCCATCATGAAGAGATCAACACAGCGCTGGCTGAAGATGGCCCTGGTTCACTAAGCTACATGAGGTAAACATCAGCCAGTGACATTAGAAATATGCATCAGACATAGTTATCATTCCACGTGTGTGATCCATTAATCACTTTCTATTTCATGTGAAACTGTCTCATCGAGAAAGAACGTGTGATCCCTTGGGGCTAAAACAGTAAAATTATCTATTGTAACTATTAAAGCCACACCCTGGTTCAGGTGGTTTTCATTGGTTGTATTTGGCGTTCTGTTTACATGATCTTTCATCCTTCTTGTCAGTGACAGTCTGTTCTCGTTTGGAACTACTTCTAATTTAATGGAGGAGATCTTCAGCGGGACGGAGTGGGCTCGGTTTCTCTCAGTTAACTGCGGCAAACCGGAGCAATCAAACGAGTTACCAAATACTAATAACCAATCACATGAAGAAGAACTGCCAAGTAAATGGACTCTTAAAGACCCAACCGATTCCCATTTAGGTTGGACACAACCGCCGCACCTAGAGAGCTTTGCACAAGACATGGCCTCCGATAAACAGACCGAGACGTCCCATATGAGTGTTACTGATCTCCCCACAAATCCACTACAAACTTCTGACCCGTTTATAGATCAATCACAAAACATCAATCTGAACCCCAACAAATCTCACAACAGTGAGCAAGCAAATGGACAATCACAGTTTTCCCAGCTTGATCTGAATGAATCAAAGGCAACTGAGCATAGTGATCAACAGCCGACGTCTAATCAAGTGTCCGGTCCCAGTCATAACCAGCCAGAAGGTGGGACGAAGGATTTTATTCCCCTCCTTGACCTTTCAAATGTTAAGGTGAGAGTATAAGCATTATAAGCAGAAACAATACTTTTTTCTTGTGTTATTAGTATTAAAAATATTCTTTCTGGTTTCCTTTCCTTCTTTTCTCTCAGTCAATGAAAAGATTGTCTGTAACATCCCACGGATCTCTGAGCCGAAAAAGAGAGCACTGGACGAAAAGGAGGGCATCGTTTGAACACACAACACAAGACATGGAGGACGAGGCACAGCCTTCAAACCCTTCAGCCGCAACTTCCCTCAACTCGCTCCTGGACTCCATCTCTCAAGACTCAGAGTCTTCTGAAACTTTGGAGACTGCGGTCAAAAAGGTAGGATGTACTATATGTCAGAAGCTAATGTGCATTCTGATAAACCAGTTTTTAACTGATATATCAACTGACTTATCAATATTAAGATCAGGTTTTGGTTTTTGGGTTTGAACATAAAGGGAGTTTGTTACTACAGAGGCACATGTGTTACTATGTTAAGATGCTTGTGGTTTTAGTGCCTTTGTTGAATTAACTGTTGGGGGGTGCTGAATTTTCAGCTTGTCGTGTGAACAAGTCTACTACAAAAAATATTTTTCGGACAGGTACTGTAGGTCATACTGTGTGATTAATGTGTGACGTAAGAAACTTAACACTGATATGAGGGCCATCCTTATTACTTTTAGCTTGTACACTACCATTCAAAGGTTTGGAGTCAGTAGTTATAATATTACAAAAGATTTCTATTTCAAATAAATGATGTTCTTTTGAACTTTCTATTCATCAAAGAATAGAATATAATAGATTTTAACACTGATGATAATAAGAAACGCTTCTTAAGCAGCAAATCAGCACATTAATATGATTTCTGAAGGATCATGTGACACTGAAGACTGGAGTGATGATGCTGAAAATTCAGTTTTGATCACAGGAATAAATTACATTTTATGTAAATAACTAATATATTATTTCCAATAGAATATTTTAAGTTGTAATAATATTTCACAGTGTTTACTGTATCAAATAAATACAGCCTTAATGAGAATAATAAGACACAGCATGAATAGGCCTGCAACAGCTGGTCATTTCAAATGGCAATTCTTTTCAGCTGATGTGTCTATTGTAAACACATTCTATCATTTGTGAATCCATTGTAATCATATTAGTGTCCACAATTACAATCCATCATGTCATTGTTTCTCCTCTTCTCCCAGAGGAGGATGGAAGACACTCGATGCGTTCGATTCTCTGAGGAGGTTATCATCTTACCGCCCAGCTATTTGCCAGAGTCTGATGATGATAATGATGATGAAGAAAATGATAACGACTGGCAAGAAGAACCTTCTCCCCGGCCTTCTTTCCCTAAGTGGATTGTGTCTTTAAAATCCAGAAGAGGAAAGTACAAATTTTAACTCTCTTCACATCTGACTCCACCTCTGAAATTCTGCAGCTCACATAAACAGAGACTGTACTTCCAGAGACAAGAGCGACACATAAAATGATCATTATTACATTCTGAAAAAAAATCATTTTAATGAGACTGCCATATGCCAGCATCAGTTTGATATGCCATTACATTAAATGAATTTTTAAAATAAAAATGAAGTAAAATGTAATAAAAGGTTGTGCAATTTATTTTCCAAGATATCATTACTTACAACCTCAAGGGCATAGTTCAAGTAAATAAAGTGAACAGAATGAAAATCAAGCTGATTTAGACAAATATTTCACATGAAACACAAAATATCCATATACTCACATATCATTATTTTCTTTCTTCGTTCATTTTACATGCTGAAAGATTATCTAGTATTTAATGAATAATTTACTGTTCTATATGTAATTAAATTTACTCCTGCTTAATTACTGTTTGTATATACACTGTCAGACAAAGGTTTGATTAAAACTCTCTTTTTACATGAAGCAACTTAAAAAGTTTTGTAGACAAATATACAGTAAATTGTGATAAGTTGTGAATTTCTTGAGAAAATGAGACACTGTCCAGCATACATGGAAAATCTGTTTAAAGCTCAAGAAATAAGATGTTTTGATTGGTTAACGTTTTTGGTTACTATGTAACTCTCATACTTACATTTCTGTTATTTCATAGTTTTGATGACTTGGTTATTATTCTAAAATGCAGAAAATAGGAATAAAGAATGATCAGGTGCATATACAGACTTTTGACTGGTAGTGTAGGCTATTTGTATAGATGTGTGTTTTCTCAGGGTTTGGGGTTGACTGAAGAATGCTTTTATTTAAACTCTTTAACAAATCCAGCCCTAAGTTCACAGATTTAAAACAAACTACTACTATACCGAAAGTGCAAATAATCACAAATCTAGAAGTAGCTATATTATTTGAAAGTCTCATTGGTTTGACGGGTCCTGCCGTCCGATAGAAAAGGTCCCTGAGTCATTTGAGCTCTTCTCCAATGCTTTGATTGACCTCTGGCTTCCCTCATAGAGTCTGTTGTTTGCTGACTCGGACACAACGCCTGATACCTGTCATACAGAGGACACAAAGATAAGACATCGCTCTACTTATCTCTACATACTTACATCAGTAAACTCTGGCACCTCTTCAAATTTCTTTGCTTTGTACTCGTCCGCCCCTTTATGAAAGTTGAGAAGGATAATGTCACAGAACACTGTAGCCTGCAAAAATATACATCAGTTAGATATTATGTGCCTAACCAGCAGTTTTGCCAGCATTAATGTGTGTGTCACAACTGTCTTACCAATCCCACTGAAGTGAAAGCTGCCACCAAATTAATCAGAAATGGCACAGTGCTAAACTTTCCTGCCTGCAAATAGATAAGCAAAATGAGACACTCACAAGTCCGTATGTCACATAAGCTGCTTTATAGCATTTAGGGCTATACAATCTACCCACATTGCCAGACACGATTATTTCAAAGCGGATGGCTTTAGCTTTATGAAGCGTTCGATGCTCGGTCCCATCTTCGGACTGATAGTATTTAGCAAACCTGGAAGAGACAAAAAGAAGATGCAGTTGCAGAAAAGACAGAATGATGCATGAGTATGTGTGTTAACGTGCTACCTGAAGTTATATCCCTGGGAAGCAACGCTGTTCTCAAAAGCAGCATCCAAGCGTGTGAAGAAGTAATTGGGATTGCAGTACGTCACATTATAGTCCAGATTACACTTCCAGTTGATGTTAATTCCAATCTCTCCTCCCTGACACACAAAACACACACATCAAACAACACAAAAACATTGTTTACTTCATATATATCTATATGTATTATTTTCACCTTTGAAGACATACCTGGGAGGTTTTATCAGATTTAACTCACTTCTGGGGACAAAACCTCCCCATATACAATGTCATTGTGCTTGTCACTGGAAAAAGTCTATATGAAACAGCGTATGCAGTTTTGGAGTGAGCATTGCCAAAATTATGCACAAAAAAAAAAGCATTTTTCATTCAAAACTGAGGTGCATAAGATCAGACCCAGTTGGATCAGAGAGGACTATGACCAGTTCCAAAAAGAAATGCAAAACCCGTGCTAACTGAAAGAAGACAATTTGACAAAAATATTGAATCAAAGATTTAGAGATAATATAGCATAATGAGAGATTTACAAGCGATTTTTTAAAAGGCCGGTCATTTTTTCCCCAGGAACACCAAATTAGGATTTTCAGCAAAGCAAAACAGTAGGCTATATCAGTAATTCAGCAGTTTCAAAAGTAGAGCCACGCAACGTAAACATGATTTTTGTGTGAAAGGCTCATTAACCTTTCCTGTGGAAGACTAAAATTGCTGTTATGTCATTGATGGACATAAAGAAACAAACAACTTTTAAAAGTAAAAAAAATAATCTCAATCTTTAACCTCATATGAATGTTTTATTATTATTAAGTTTTATTGAGCAGACCTTGAAGACAAATTCGTTTGTTTTAAAAATAAAATTATACGCCCCATATTTCTGCTCAAAACTGGCCACATTCACTTGCACTCAAAGTGCAACCTTGTTCTTCTCTTCCCTTTTCTTTTCTTGTTGACATGTTCTGGTTTTCTTTGTTAGTATTACAGCACAAATGCAAATGCTGTGGACTGAGCTGAACTTTGATTGAAGCTGGAATATTTAGTGGGAAAAAGTTTTAAAAGACATGAGCACTTGAGAGGGGAAAGGGGCCTGTTTGTAGTGATGGGGAGTCGACTCCAAAAGAATCGATTAATCGACTCTGAATAGCCCTAGAGTCGGAGTCGACTCCAGCACTGGAATCGACTCTCGGTGTCGACTCCGAAATCGCTGATGTCTTCACTGATTCTTAAATCCCTATAGTGCATGCATGGCAGTTGAGTGCTGCATTATATCAGCAAAGAGTGAACTAAATTAAGGGAGGGTCCGTTTGCAGTGCAGTCCATGTGCGGTCCGTAGCCTATGCGGCGCAGCATTATAACACAGGCTTTAGTGTGCTCAGTGCGCTATGATCCGCGGCTAATAGCCTACCACCATTAGTCTATTTTGATTTCGAATTTGAACGTTTTTACTATTTTTTTTTCTCTCTCTCAGCATTATCTTTTCACACTGTAATACTATCTTTCATAGACATACCCGCTGAGTGGCATTAAACAGCTTGAAAGATCAAAGACAATTTTTAATATATCTCCGACTGGATTCATCTGAAAGAAGAAAGTCATATACACCTAGGATGACTCGAGGGTGAGTAATTTATGGGCTAATTTTCATTTTTGGATGAACCAACACTTTAATGTGTAGGCCATCACAATTTTAAATTAAAACTTACCATTGACAGAAACAGCCGTCTCGTGCCTTTTTTTTTTTGCATTTACATTACGAGTAACCCTGCTGGTCATAAAAATAACTTTTTCTAACTCCACGAGGGCCATCGGTTACCATGTTTATCTAAAAGTGTAGCCTACTTTTCCTTGCTTTACCCCTATAGCTAAAAGTACTTTTAACGTGAGCAATGCCCTGTAACTTTAATTCAGCGTGTGCAGCACAGCAAAAATAGACTCGGTGAGGAAACGATCGCTGCGATGCTGCAGACGCACCGCTCGGAACGCATCGAGTGAATATGGAGTACGAAACATGCAAAAACAATAAATAAATGAAACCTGCAAAAACAATAAATAAATAAATACACAAATAAATAAATAAATATGCAAATAAATAAATGTGTGTATAAATACACAAATTCTTGTTTAAATATATATATAAATAATTAAACGTGATTAAAGTAGGCAAATAAATAAAATAAATTGTATTTATTAAAAAAAAAAGTATCTGTGACTGTACAAATGACCCAACGAAATGGCCAGTGTCTTTCCTGACATAATTTTTTGTAACCCGATTGAGTCTCCAGCTAGAGACAACTGTAATATCAGTATCCCATGGTCATCGTGAGATTATTCACTTTATCCGTGGAATAAGGGCTCGTTCTTTTGATGGCAGCTAGTGTTTATTAGGATGGTTTTACCTGCTCGTTGTTTAGGTATGTGTAAAATAATTTTTATGGTCAGTAAACAGTCTTCTACAACCAAGTCGATC